CCCGCCCTGTAGTGCAGGTTCGAGTGGATGATTGGACACCAGCGCGGGTGTGAGGGGTTATTGCCACTTCGACAATAACTTTAATACCTGCTCACCTGAAGGTCGTGGAGGATTGCGCCACTTTATCCCTTATTCGGACGGCTTCATCCGCACGTGCGCTTGTATGTATGTTGTTTCGTACTCGTTTCCATCTCCGTAGTTTACTTCCGCTCAGTCATCTGATTGCGTTTTCCTGATGCTCACTTGGTGCACAGCTTTTTCCTCATGACGTAAGAGCCCGTGCTTCTTCGCTAATCTGCCCGTCGCGCACGGGCGGGAGGCGGTGCGATCTCCTGGACTCCTCGACGGAAGGTGTCCCGCCCTCTCTCCAGCTACGTTTCCTCCTTCCCATCTCCCTCCCTCTCTCTATCTCCCTCTCTCTCTCTCTCCTCCTCTCTTTCCATCTCTCCTTCTCTCTCTATCTCTTTAATTCTATCTCTCGTCTGCTTGCTCGCTGCCATGGCCTGTTCTCATGTTTCCGCGCGTCATTCTCCGTGGCCGCCCGTGCCTTGCATATCACCGCCGGGCGTTCGCCGCTCTGGTCTGCCTCAGCGCGGATCGCGCGCCATTTTTGCAGCCTGCCCGATCTAGGGGGCAGCTCCTTTTTGTTCTTAGGATGGCGTGGCCAATTTGCATCACACGGGTAAGTCGGGGCCTTTGTGCCCTCGTTGTTCTGACGCTTCATTGCGCCAGCTCCGTGCGGCCTCTCCATCTCCCCCTTTCTCTCTGTCTGTTTATATATATATATGTATATATATATATATATATGTATATGTATATGTATATATATATATAATATATATATATATATATATATATATATATATATTAAGATACTTATATATGTATAGGGATCATTGTTTGTCTGTTTTTTTGGGGGGGGAGGGCCTAGCTCTCGCTCTCTCTCTCTCTCTCTCTCCCTTTCTCCCTCCTTGCTTCCATCATCTGTCCAGCTCCGTCCCTCCTCTCCCTCCCCTCCCTCCTCCCTCGTCCTTCCCCCCCCACCATCCTCTCACTTTTTACCCCTGCTTCTCCCCTCCCCCTCCTCCCCCGACTTGTACGTGCACTGCGGGCCTTTCCTTGCCCTGCAGGCGCTTGGCTGGTGCGGCCGTGTTCTCTCGGCCGGCGGGTCCTCGTGGGCGCGCGGCCAGGCTCTCCGCCGGTGGGCGCCGCGTGGGTGTCTCGTGCGCTCGCTGGCGCTTCGATTTCGCTGCATACAGTCTTTATTCGAACAACTAGTTCGGATCTACCACCCTACGGGACGTGATAACGACCACAGCCACTGCTTTTCTTTTGTTGCCGCCTTCCAGCCAGCAGAAACAAAGCAGTGGTTGTGGTCATTTTCGTTGAGCTTGGCCAGGGAAATGACCACAACCACTGCTTCTTTCTCGGCCGGCTGGAAGGCGGCTCAAACAAGAAGCAGTGGCTGTGGTCATTTTCCCGTCCCGCACACCCCATCCTGGTTTTGTGCGTACCCCTGGGTGTGCGCAATTCATGTATTAGCTTGCCCTATGGGTTTACATCTTCCCAGCCAAGCCGGGTTCGACGCCCCTTCATCCTCGTCGGCTAATACTGTGTGCGCGCACTCGCTTATCTCAAGTCACCCATTCGGAAGAACCCCTTGCAGCGAAAACGAGACGAAGCGCACACGCGCGTCGTCGCGCGCGCATGCAGCAGTCTTAAACAAACCGTAGGCATGGTAAGGATTTCAAAATCGAACGTCCTGAATACACAAACAACACATTGTTTCGCAACCAGATGTTTCAAACATGTCTGCATGTGCGCTTTCGTGAATTCTTGAGGAAGCTGAATGTTTCTAGTGCTTTCGTCAAGGACGACCAAACGAGCCTCTCGCGCGCGCATGTCGCAATCGTTCGAGCGCCCTTGCGTGCGTGCTGGGGTGGGGGGCACGATCCGTGTTAGATAATGCCATGCGGGCCACTCGCGCGCATCGGCCGTGCGCGCATGTCGAAATCTTCCCCAAGCCTTCATCACCGACGCGTGGACACCATCATCGCCATCGGCGTGGTCAGCATCGGTGCCGTCATTGGCTTTGCTTTCGTCATTGTCATCATCGTCACCAGCATCGCTACTATCATCATCGTGGCTGCCGTTGTCGACGTCGCCATGATACCGCGCCCGCCCGAGTCACCGACTCGGACTGAAGTGCCCGCGCGTGAGCGCGGCCTGCGAGACGCGCTCGGAAATGCTCAGCGGTCAGCGCCACAGCCGCCGCGTCGGTCGCGCCAGACTATCTGGCCGCTCTGCGCGCGAGCCTGCGCGCGCTCGCGCGGCCGCAGCAGAGTGTCAGCCAGCGCCGAGCAGTCATCGCAATCGCCGCCGCATGGGTTTTGTACGCCACGTTGCGGGTGGGTGGGTGGGATGATTGCGCGAGCAGTGGAGTTGAAAACTCCAAGTTCGGCAGGGTGAGATGCTCCTCGTAGACGGTACCACGCAGCTTGCATCGCACAGTTTGCACCGCGCACGCGCTGCATCGTACAACATACACTGCATAGCCTGCACCGCGTTTCTTGTACCCCACAGATTGCGCCCCCGCAGTAGCATATTGAACCCCGTAGGGTGCACCACGTGGATTGCGTCGCATACATGGCGCCGAATAGATGGCATCACATGTTTGCACCTGCCACATGTTGCACCACTTATATCCGACCACGTTTGCAGCATCGCGTAGACTGCGCCGCGTAGATTGCACCGCAGATGTTTCATCATGTGCAAATTGCACACGTTGTATATGATTTAATACACACACAGTGCGCCGCACACATTGCGCATCGAATGCATTTTCAAACAGTTTGGTGTCCACGCTTGCTGATGTTCTCGCTTGCTCCTGATCTCGATCACGACCTTCGGAGAACGAGACCCACTAGACGTACACGTCAGTCCGGATTCTAAACCTACTCTCGGTCCGCATCATCGTCCCAGTTGTCCATCTCGCCAGCCCTGCCTGCCGTCTACCTCCGCCCACGCGTTCGTGCTGCCAGGCGGCCGCCGTCGCAGCCGCAACTCCTTCAGGCCCGCACTGCCGCCTGCCAGGGGAGCTGGACGGCAGGCGGGCGTCGGCAGAAGGAAGAGAGGCAGGGTCAAGCTGGGTGCGCCCGCGCAGTGTCAGACATCATATCCCTCTCCTCGGGAGCGGAAAAGAGGGGGGTGATGACTAGGGGGGGCTGGATTTCATGGCGCGGACCATGGTTTTTCCTCAGATTTCATGGCGCCTCTTCTTATTTTATTACGTCCCAGGCCCCCCCGCTGGGCCGCGCACATGCCGCCGGTCATGATTTGCACCCCCCCCTCTTGGACACCCCCCTCTTGGCCGCTCCCGATCTCCCCCATCCCTTACCATTGCGCTGATGTTTCTCTATCCGCGGGCGCTTGCCGTACGAGTAGCAGCAGCAGGAGTTGGAGTGGAACGAGTGCAAGGAGCAGGAGAGCGGGATGACCGGGGGAAGGCGGAGGAGGGGAACAAATGGGGGCGACGACCCCGAAAAATGACCCGGATGCAGAAAAGTGGCCCGCGCTGGGGCGAGAGCGCCACTCTGAACGACAGAAGCAGCGCGCTGATCCGAAAATAAGGCCCACGCTGCAACGGGAACACCGTCTTGAAGCACCGAAAACAATCATATTGCAAACACCTGTCGGACAACTCAGCTCGGCCCAAACCTGCGCGTAAGAAGTAGGACGCGGAGGGGGCTGGACACCTCGAGTACGGAGTCAGGGGAGGGAGGAGAGCAGTACTCAGATCGTGTAACTTCAAGCCCGCGAGGCGGGGGCGGCATGGCCACCTGGAGGAGGAAGGGTCACAGTGGCAGCAGCACCTCCATCAAGGGAGGAAAAGCCACCCGGACCGGATAACTGGCGTTTGCGAAACGGCCCTGGGCGTTTACGAAACGCCAGCACCAGCACCCGCGTGGGGGGTCTCCTGGCCGGCCGCGCCCAGGAGCCCGCGGCGCCAGCAGCCGCGGCGCGGCGGGCGGCCGCGCGAGCAGCAGCAGAGCAGCGGCCGCCGGCCCCGGGAGCCGCAGCGCCCCCCCGCCGTCGCGTGCTCTTCCCAGCGCAGCGTGCCTGCGCCGCAAGCGGCCGGTCGGGGCCTCCCAGAGGCGGTTGGAGCAGATTCGATTAGACGTAAGAGTGACCTTTCGCCGGAGTGACCTTTCGTGCGGGCACTGATGGGCCCCCAGATGGCCGAACACGACGCGGTAGCAGCGGCTAGCGCGCCTAGATTTGGCCTCCCCGCGGCCCCCCCAAAGCCGCGCACCAAAGGTCACTCTTACCCAGGGTCACTCTTACGTGTAGCCGACAGATGGGGTCGGAGGATCGTGCCGCATCGCCGATGCATCGACGGTGCGGCTCGATGTGGAGCCCGATGTTCTGCACGCCAGCGTCGTTGATGCACCGCCGATGCATCGCCGATGCATCGCCGATGCATCAGCGTTGCGGCGCGATCCTCCGACCCCGTCTATTCGGACCCCATCTGGGAGGCCTCCAGTCAGGGAGCCTCGCTCGTGCTTCGCGTCGCCCTCGAGCACGGCTCTCCCCTGGTCCGGCTGCCGCCTCCGCGCGGGCCTCGCAGCTGGAGAGACTCTCGCCCGCACCCCGCGAGCTCAGATGTGCCCTGTCTGTCTTGCTGCCTGCCTCGCGCCCCTCTCAGCGCGTGCGGCGCGCCCGCGCGAGGAGTCCTGCCCGGCCGCCAGCGCCGAGGAGGAGCCCCGGAGCGTGAAGACGGGCCTGTCCCTCCTACAGGAGGAGTACTCGAACACAGTCAGAAAGCGGTCTGGGGACGATCTTGTTGACTATGTTTTGGGCATGTTTGGAGTATTTTTGGAGTCTTTTTTCATTTCTCGTCCAAAACCCCCCTCTAGGGGGACAGGCCCGACCTCACCGGAGCGGCGAGGAGCCCCGCGCCGCAGCCCCTGGGCGCGGGCAGCGCCGCCGCCGCGCCGGAGGGCGCGGGCGCTGCGGCGCAGGCGGCGCTCGGCCGCCCCCCCGGGGCCCTGCCGGCCAGAAGGGGCCCCCGGCGGGCGCCTCCGGTGGCCCCCAGGCGACCCACCCCCTCCGTCCGAGGGGCTCACGTGGCGGCAGGACGGCCCGAGGGCCCCCCGGCCCCAGACCCCCCTCGAGTCCTGAAAAAATCACGACGGGAGGTTTTTCATTATTTTCGGCCTTTGGGGGCCCTTACCGGCCCTCGGGACCGTCAAAAAACGACTCAGGACGAAAAACCGGTCCCAGGGAATGGGTCGAGACCTCGGGGGGTCGACGTCATGAAAAAATCATGACGTCGGGGGTCTGGGGCAGGAGATGCTCCCCCCCCCTCTTGGCACCCGCGGCGGCAATGGGGCCCGAGGGCCCCACGGCACAAGACGTTCCCCCTCCCCCCCCCCCACCTTCCCCACCCACGAGAATCGGAGAGTTCACGCGAGCGGCCCGAACTGTCCCCGAGAGAGCCCACACGAGAGGCTCCAGGAAGCTGGCGGTGTCCGGGGTGGTGGGGGTGCCGGCGCGGTTTTTGCTGGGTGGGTGGACCCTAAGAACCTGTGCCCAGAGGATCCAGGAGGCTGGCATCCGTATCGCGTGCAACATTCTGGTCCTCACCTCCACCCCGGTCCCTGGGAGGGAGGTGGAAGCACGAGTGAGAGGCGGGCACGTGTGGCGTGCAAAGCGAGTGGATCTGTTCCCATGGTGGCCCTCCCCCCCCTCCTCCACGCTCCCTCTCCTCCCTCTCCCCCTCTTGCACTGCCTCCCTTTCTCCACCTCCCCTTCCCCCCCGCCCTGTCCCGCGCCCTGTCACCCCCTGAGATCCGACGTTGCCAAAAAACTGCAACATCGGAAAAAATATCACGACCAGACCCCTGGACCCCATCTTTCTGCGCCATTTTTCGAGCCGGATCGATCTGAGAGGGTCCTGGGGCCCGATCGTGAGCGAAAACGTGCGGCTCGCAAAAAGTGAGTCGCCAGGATCTCAGGGTCTGAGGAGTGGGGAGTGACATGAAGAGTCAGGGAATGGAGTCGATCAGGAATGGGGGGAATGGGGAGAATTGTGACGGAGTTGGGAGCGAGGACGAATGTGGAGGCGAGCGGAGAAAGTGGGAGCAACAGGGGGGCAGAAAGGATGGATAGGGGGAGGGGGGGGCAAGGGGGAGGGAGGGAGACAACGGAAGGGTGAGCAGGAGGAGGAGGAGGAAAAGGAGGACCACGACTACGACGACGACGAAGAAGAGGAGACGGAGGGAGCACGCTAGGAAGGAGGGAGGGAGAGAGGGAGGGAGTCGACAGAAAGAGGGGGAGGAGATGAGGGAGGAGGAGGGGTGCAAGCGCACGGGGATGCAAAGATCGCGCTCCCCCCCACGTGCCTGCTCTGTCCTCCCTTCCATCCCGCATATACTTCGTGGCGAACGATCACTTCCCTTCCCCTTCCCTCCCCTTCCCTGCACCCCCTTCTCAATCGCGCCTCCCCTGCCACCACGCGCCCCCCCCTCCCCCTCCTTCGAGCACGTCGTTTGCACAAGGCCGCTCGAATGGCATCGTTTGCGAGACTGGCGCAGGACGTTAACAGTCCTGGACGCCTTGCTCGCGCACGCGCGCGTAAGACCAGACATCCAAGCAGCATGGTCAGGGACGGGGTTATCCCTCACCGTGGGTCGGCTCACCGTGAACGGTCTGGTAAGGCAAGCATCCACGCGATGTTAACGATGCTGCTGCTGATGCTGATGATGATGCTGATGCTGCTGATGATGATGCCGATGATGATGATGATGCTGATGATGATGATGATGATGATGATGATGATGATGATGATGCTGATGATCTGACCATTGGATGCTGCTGATGATGATGATGCTGATGCTGATGCTGATGCTGCTGCTGATGCTGCTGCTGATGATGCTGCTGCTGATGATGATGCTGATGCTGATGCTGATGCTGATGCCGCTGCTGATGATGCTGATGCTGATGCTGATGCTGCTGCTGATGATGATGATGCTGATGCTGATGCTGATGCTGCTGCTGATGATGCTGATGATGATGCTGATGCTGATGCTGCTGCTGATGATGATGCTGATGATGACGCTGATGCTGATGCTGCTGATGATGATGCCGATGATGATGATGAGGATGAGGATGATGACGAGGATAGGATGAGGATGAGGATGAGGGTCAGGATGAGGATGAGGATGATGATGATGATGATGATGATGACGATGACGATGATGATGATGGTGGTGGTGATGATGATCATGATGATGATGATGATGATGATGATGATGATGGTGGTGATGATGATGATGATGATGCTGCTGCTGCTGCTGCTGCTGATGATGATGATGATGATGATGGTGGTGGTGGTGATGATGATGATGATGATGATGATGATGATGACGCTGATGATGACGCTGATGATGATGATGATGATGATGATGATGATGATGATGATGATGATGATGATGATGATGATGATGATGATGATGATGATGCGGTGACCATTGGGAAAGGTGGCCCCTCCGGCCTCGGATGTCGAGCAGCGGCGTGCCCACGCGGTCTCTGGCAGCCAAGGGGAGAGGCGACGGCAGCGCGTGGACGGGCGTGCCCGCGCTTTGCCGAGTCCGCGTAAAGTCTATCACACCAGATGGAGGGAGAACAAAAAGAAGAAGGAGAAGAAGAAGAAGAAGAAGAAAGAAGAATAATAAGAAGAAACATAATAAATACGAACAATAATACTAAGAATAATTATACTAAGAAGAATGATAATAATAATAAGAATAATAAGAATAATAAGAATAATAATACGAGGAATACTAATAATAAGAATAAGAAGAATAATAAGAATAATAATAATAAAAATGATAAGAATAATAATGATAATAATAATATGAAGAATAATAAGAATACTAAGAAGAATAATAAGGAGTAATAAACAGAAATGTGGTGATATTTGCCCTCCCCCTTCTCCCGGAATGTGGTGACATTTGCCCAGCCGGCCAACACTGCGCATTCCCGTTTTAATGGGTCGACTATAGCCCCCGTGAGGGGAAGCGTATATGCCGTTAGTAGTTTGTGGCTTTGTTTGCGAGGAAAAGAAGAATCAATCACACCAGAGAAAAAAAACCGATCAGTGCATGGTTTTCGCTGGGGAGATCGACCGGGAACCCGGGAGGCGGGGAACCCAGAACGCACCGAAGTCGGCCCTGGAGCATTGGCCGGGAACCCAGGAACCCGGGAACCCAGCCTGCTACTCCAGATTTCGTAATAAAAGGGAGGGGGTCTGGACCCTCCAAGACAAGCCATTTCAGACCTCCCCCGTGGGAGAACCCTCCAAAACATCGTCCCCAGACCCCCCAGGGCCTCCAAGATGGCCTGGAAGAGACCCCCCCGAAATGAGACACCCCTCACTTTATTACGAAATCTGGAGTACCAAAATCGGCGGGAAGCTTTCGCCAAAGCTTTCCACTTCCGCGGGGGCCCCTTCTGTGCAAGCACTGCTTGGGGGAAACACTGGTGCCGCAGCCCTGTGCGCAGCGAGCGCTCGCCGAGGCGGACGCGCCACCGTGTTCTCACCACCCACCAAACCACCCCAACCCAACCCGAAGGCTCAGATTTACCCTCGATTTCCAGTGGGGGGGGGTCGGGAAACATCGAAAAAACACATGTGGAGCCCTTACCCCCCCAAACCCGAAATTCGGGTCTTCGGGTTGGGTTGTAGTGGTCTGGTAGGTAGTCATGTTCGCCCGCCGTGCCTGGGAGCGGGCGGCGGTCTTCGTGCTGTCACTCAGAAGGGACGCCTTGTCCACGAAGGTTGCCAAGTCGAAGTCCGGCGACGGCTCCCGAGCATCATGTGCATCCTTCCTCTTGTTTGTAGCTTTGGGCGTGAGCCCCAAGCGTGATCGGAAGTCCCTGTACACCGCGTCCTTGTGCTCGGTGGGCACTTCGTGCATGAGCACCGCGGAGCCTCCGCCTTAAAGCCTCGCGACGCCAGCGGCGTCGGCAAGCTGGAGCAGCAGGCGCATGGAACTCTCGATGTCCTCTGGGGCGGCCCGCGAGCGTGAAGACTTACTCTCGGCCGCCGTGTGCGGGCTCTGGGCGCTGTTCAGGACAGACGCCAGGGTCCTCTTCTTGAGCCAGTGCGGCCTCTTCTTGAGCCAGGCGGACGCGGCGTCCTTCCTGGCGCTGGACGCCCCGGACGCGATGGTGCTGGTGCGCGGCTGCGCAGCCGGAGGGCTCTCTCTCTCTCTCTCTCTCCCTCCTTAGGGGGTTCTCTCTCCTTGGGGGGTCACATGCGAACCCTACCCCCTCCCCCCCCCATTTCTGAGGGGGAGGGTGGGGTTCACTTCGTTCGCCCTCCCCATCCTCCTCGGAACTCTCCTCCGCCAGTGCGGCGTCGGTGCGCATCCTCTTCGGCCCGTTCTGCGGCTGGGGCCGCGGCCTGCGAGAGTCCCGACGACGCCGCGGCCGGGGCGCGCAGTCGGCTCGCCGGGTCCACGGGCGGAGGGGCGCCAACCTGCGACGCTGGCACGCTCTGGCTGTGCGCTTCGGCGACGAGAGTTATGATGCACCAGCCTACTTTAGCCTTGATCACCAGAAACAAGTTCGAGCGCCAAGAGAAGTAACGAAACTCAAGGGTTTCCACGTGTCGGGCCCTGGGAGACACTCGCCCGACACTGTTGCGACACTCTTTTGACACTTTCTCGGGTGCTCGAAATTATTTCTGGGATGCGGTCCGTAAGTAGGATGGGAACAACATAGGACGAGAGGGGCCTCCAGAGCGCGGAGCTTTTCGAAATTCGCCGGCTTGCCGTCGAACGTGTCCTTCAAGCCCTGGCAGATTTGATCGGCCACGCCCTGGACCCCCTCCTCGCGCGCGCCCGCAGCGTCCTCGGGCACCAATGCGCGCAGCTCGCTGAGGACGACGTTGGGTCCCACTTCATCACGCGGTTGGCGGCTCTCACGAAGTTTTCGCTGTCTGCCGCGTACGCGGCCACATTGACGCGACCGTCTACGACCAGGACTAAACCCGTGTGCGTCAGAATGGTGTAATCCAGCTGCAAAAACCTGATGTCGGCGTCGGTGGTGAAGGGGTTCTGCGCGACGCCTTGACGTTTCAGTTGTTGGTGATGCGCTGCAAGGCCAGCCAGGGTTCACCTTGGACACGACATCATGCCCAACGAGCCTCTCCGCAGGCGCGAGCATGGGGGGCAGCATGGATGCGAAACGCGCGCAGGCCTCCATGAAGTCCATCGTTATCTCCTTGGCGCGCACCGTCATCTGGAACTTCTTGGCGAATCAACTCCCCAACGCCATGGCGGCGTCGACAGATGGCCGCGTTACTTCGGGGGGAATCTGGGACGGGTCCAGGTCGCTCAACAGGGTATCGATGTTCGGGTCGGCGTGCTTCCCCAGACAGTCCACAATCTCCTCCCCGATCATATCCTTTACCTGGACATCATCCTTGCCGGCCATCCCAGCAGGAATGCCACCTCAGGGTTCTGCGCTAATGGCACGAGCCCCGAAGGGTTCAGCGCCAGGTGACTGCGAGCACGAGCCCCGAAGGGTTCAGCGCCCCCAGCTTGAGTAGCACGACCCCCGAAGTGTTCGCGCTGCTGGCACGAGCCCCAGGGGTTTCAGCGCCGTGGTTTCCACCCACCGTGGACACCAGATCCACAGTTCAAAAACCACATGCCGTGTTTCAACTATGCGAGACCTGGACATGAGAAAACTCACAGCGCGAGCCCCGCAGGGTTCGGCGTCGGGCGACTGCGAGTATTGATCCCCCGAGGGGCTCAGCGCTCCCAACTCGAGCAGTACGAGCCCCTGACGGTTCAGCGCTACTAGCACGAGGTCGGGTGGACGCCATGTCGGGGAGGCCTTGTCAATACCTTTCTGAATTTAGTGCGCTTTCTACAATCTGAGCGTCTTCGGTGTTGAAAATGGTGCTCCCGCTTCAGCGCGCACCTCATTTTAGGATCGGCGTACTGCTTCTGTCGTTCAGGTAGGCGCTCTCGCCCCAACGCGGGCCACTTTTCTGGATCCGAGTCCTTCCTCGTCGTTGTCTGCCCGCTCCTTTCCCCTCTTCCTCCTTCGCCTGGTCCTCCTGCTCCTCCCGCCCCTCCCGCCCCTCGCACTCCTGCTCCTGCAGCTGCTGTTTCTCCTCGCCCCCCTCCCTCCTCCTCCTCCTCCGCCTCCTCCTCCTTCTCCTCCCCCTTCAGCTCCTTCAGCTCCTCTTCCTCCTCCTCCTCCTCCTCCTCCACCTTTGATGTACACAGCTCCCCTCTTCTGATTACGCATAATACGATGTTTTTTTTTTTTTTTTGATCAGCGCAATGGGAAGGGATGGGCTGGAGGGGTAGGATGTCAGGGTGCACCTAGCTTGCCATCCTCCTCCCGCCCCTTCGGCCGACGAAGGAGTGGACACGAGGTGGGCCACCAGGCAGCAGCGAGGGGTGGGGGCGTGAGCGAACGAACGAAGAAGCCGCGCCCTGACGGCGCATCGGCAGACGGCAAATCGCGTGCGAGCTCTGGACCACTTCCCAGGGGCCAGTCGTTCGTGCTGGATTGTTTCTCACGGTCCTGGGGCCCCGCGACCAAAAACGGCCCACAGAACCTCCCGTCGTGTTTTTTCAATGCGTCGGCCTTCGAGTAGGAGATCGACTGCAGAATTGATGAACCCCATAACTGATTGGCTCGTCGAGTCTGCGAAACATGCACCGAGTGCTCGCAAAGAACTGCGTCCCTTCGACGTAGTTCTTTCTCGTGGATGCGAGGAACAGTTCCCTGCTGAGGCACGTCAATTCTGCAGTCGATCCCCTGCCCGAGGGCCTGGGGCCCAGCAGGCCGCAGCGAGGGCGCGAGGCCAGCCTCACAGCCCCCCTCCGCCGCCCGGATGCTGCTGGGGGGGCCAGGCTGCCGCCGCGGGCGCGGCCGAGGCCGGCGGCGCGGGCGTGGAGGCCAGCCAGAGGCTGTACAGGAGGTGCCTCGGAGGGGGGAGGTTCGGAGGAGAACGAGGTACCCATGCCTCTACCCTTCGCCCGTTTTCCCTTTCCTGGGCCTCCTGGAAGGCCCTCGTCGCCACCGCTGGATTCGCCTCGAAATTCTTGTCAGAACGCACCCTGGGAGAGGTCCGGGGAGTAGCGGCATCGGCACCTTTTGGTTTCCCCAGGAGGTCGACCAGGCGTGAGAGTGACCTTTCGCCGGAGGGACCTGTGAGGCGGGCCCAAGTGAGGTCCCCCGATCGCCGAGCGCGAAGCGGCAGCAGCGGCTTGCGCGCCCCAATCTGGCCACCCCGCGTCCGCCGTTCAGCCGCGCACCAAATGTCACTCTTACCCAGGGTCACTCCTGCGTGGAGCCGACCGAGGAGGTGGGCGCTGCGGCAGCACCGAGCTCAGATGCTCGTTTTGGGGACCTTCCCGGGGCCCACCTGACGGGCTCCAGTTCGAGACTCTAGTTCGAGACTCGAGTTCGACTCTAGTTCGACTCCAGTTCGGCTCAAGTTCGTCGGGGGCCCCCAAACGGGGTGGTGACCACACCGTGCGGTGAGTCGGTAGGGATTCGGGGTCACCGCACGGTTTTGGGACTCGGGTCGTTCTCCGAGGACGTCTCGGGCGACTGGGGCACCCGAGGTCCCAAGACCGTGCGGTGACGAACCGTGCGGTGAGGCTTTGGGGGATTTCGAGGTCACCGCACGGTCTGTCACCGCACCGGTTCGGGACTCCAAAGCTCGGCTCAGGTTCGACTCGAGTTCGGCTCGAGTCGGCGGACGTTCGACGCAGCTTCGACGCGCGAGTGGAGCGAGCGGCTCCAGGAAGGTCCTCAGAGGGAGCATCGAACCAAGCCGTCGGCCGGGCCTCCAGAGATCCGTGCTGAAAAAATTCGGAGGTGGATAGACCTCCTGCCTTGACACGTCGATTAAGGAATGGGCCGTTTTCGGCTCGCGAGAGGGCGTCGCGGCCGCCATTTTTGCGGGTCCAGGTCCGTCTGTTTCGGTCCCAGGCCGTTTTCACTAAGGGGAAGTTTGCTAAAGAGAGGTTTGTCCTCCGCCGAAACATGACCGATGTTTTCTTTTCGCCTTCTTCGGCCTCGCCAGGCTCCCAGAGGGCAAGAAACGACTCGGGATGAAGTACCAGCCCTGGGGGAGGGGTCGAGACTTCCGGGACCACGTAATTACTGAACAAATCAAGGCGTCGGATTTTTTGGGGCAGCACCGAGCGACGCGGGCTATGCGCGTGCACCGACGCCGGCCGTCGGCAGGGCCCGTCTGTGGGCCTGGGATCGGCATGTTGTTGTAGGCCTCCTAAATGGGGTCGAAGTACATGGGGTCGGAGGATCGCGTCGCATCTCCGATGCGGAGCCCGATATTTCTCCACGTTGACGTCGACGATGCGTCGCCGACATCGGCGATGTATCGACGAGGATTCGCCGATGCATTGGCGATGCGGCGCGATCCTCCGAGCCCATCTACTCGGACCCCATCTATAAGGCCTCTCTAGTTGTATGGGGCGTTCCAGAGGAAGCGCCTCGCCTTCGAGGGCTCAAGGAGTCGGCCCCCTCCTCCTGGGGACATGGTGGGAAGGCTCCTAATTGTTGCTTCGCCCGTTGCTCGGAGGTTCCTCGGGCTCCTCGGGTTTCCTGCCCCCGGTGTCTCCCACTGTTACTCTGCCCGTTCCCCGGAGGTTCCTCGGGTTCCCCGGGCTCCTCGGGTTCCCCGGTCTCCTTGGGTTCCCTGGGTTCCTTGGGTTCCGCGGCCTCTGTTGGCTGCCCTCCTTCCTCGGATTCGTGGTCTTGTTCCGCAGGTTCTCCTCCTCCTCCTCCTCCCTCCTCCTCCTCCTCCTCCTCCTTCTCCTCCTCCTCCTCCTCCTCCTCCTCCTCACGGTCTCGTTCCTTGCCCAGGCTCCTTGGCTTCCCCCGCGCGTGCTCTTCGGGTCGCCCGGGCTTCTCGGTCCCGGTCCCTGGTCGGGGCGCCTCGGGCTCCCGGGGCCTTGTTCTCCGGGTTCCCCCCGGTGTTGCAGAGCAGCGCGGAGCAATCCCAACACATGCCACGCAGTGCCGAGCAGTGCCAAGCAGCGCCGAGCAGCGCCGAGCAACGTCAGGCAGCGCCTTGCCATGCAAAGCGATGGCAAGCAACGCCAAGCAATGCCAAGCAATGCGCCCGTGCGATAGGAAGTTGTCCCTAGTTGGGGTCGGGCCGGGTTCATTACCTGAGGCCCCTCACGAAGCGTCCCTACCAAGGTGAATGGGCGCCGTGCTATGGAAAAAGAAAGGCCGTCGGAAGCAAAAGGCGGTCATCGAAGAAATGCACTTTTTTGAGTTCAGGGTTGCTGGAACTCGCCGTATGTCTCCCTGGCCAGGCCGTGCGGGCGTGTTCACCGATTCTGGCCTCGGCGAGGGTCGGTGTCTGTGCAGTATACTTATCGTCCTCCTAGCCACGGCAGGGCTTTTCCAACGTAGGATACGGTGATTTTGTTGATCGATCGCCATTTGCATATGTCTCTGCTTGGCTTGTGGCCTCGCGCCCAGTATTGCGTCTCATGTGCACTTGCACACCGCTACCTTTTCAGCACACCGTTCTGACGAGGCCGTGGTTCCGAAACGTGGACACGCGGACTGAGAAGGCATGGTCTTGAAGCGCCATACGATTCAGTTGTGGGGTGACATCGGCGCGTCCCCAGGCCTCTGGCGACTAGAAAGCTGCGCCATATTTTCATAATTTTTGGCCTTTGGCCTAGGGCTGTCAAAAAACTAGCTGGGGATGAACGACCAGTCCCGAGGAAGGGGTCGAGATGTATGGGGGTCCCCGCCGCGGACAAAAGTCAAGTCCGTCGGAGCTCCTGGTTGGGGCTGGGAGTGACATCAGGGATCAGGGCGTTCGGAGTGGGTCCGAGGGGGGGGGGCGTTCGGCGGCGTCCCGAGAGGGGAAACTTTGGAGCGTCTGGACGGGGAGGCCTATAGAGAGGGGGCGTTCGGAGGGAGAGGGGGTGCTTGTGAGGGAGAAGTCCAGTGGGTGCAGGAATCGCGCTCTCGCGTGGCATCGCAGTTTATTCAGACGCCGCGCCCTCGACACTCAGGAATCACGCTCTCGCTTACCTTTGCCGCTAAGGCCCACCTTCCCGACCCGCCCGCTCAGGTCTGCCCGCCCGATCTGCCCGTCTTGTTCTGCCACGTGTTTTCTGCTCCTAGTGCCCCTCCTGCCAATCTCTTTCGTGCTCCATCCTTCTCCCTCCCCCTTCCATCCGTACTCTCTTCCCATGTTGCAGGGGCTGCAGTCTATGCACGTGGCAGGTAATGAAGATATACCCCCCCCCTAAGGGGATACGATCGAAGACGAAGACGGCGGGTACCAAGGGTTTGGGACAGACGGGTTGAATTGCACGCGAGCAGACATGAGCGAACAGTCTTAACATGAATGTGGTTGTTGGTGGTGGTAATGATGGCGATGCTCCTGTTGCTGCTGCTTCTGCTGTTGATGCAGATGTTGATGATCATGCTAATGATTATGATGCTGGCGATGCTGATGCTGCTGATGATGATGATTTTGCCGATGATGCTGGTGATGATGCTGATGATGCTGCTGCTGATGAGGATGCTGATGATTTGATGATGCTGCTGCTGATGCTGATGCTGATGATGATGCTGATGATGATGCTGATGATTATGGTGGTGGCGATGATGATGCTGATGCTGCTGATGATGGTGATGCTGATGCTGTTGGTGCTGCTGATGATGCTGCTGATGATGATGCCGATGACTATGATGGTGATGATGCTGATGCTGCTGCTGATGATGATGATGCTGATGCTGATTACGCATATGATTCTGACGATGATGCTGTCGATGATGATAATGCTGATGATGGTGATGATGATGATGATGTGATGCTGAGGCTGATGATGACAATGCTGCTGATGATGATGCTGCTGACGGCGATGATAATGATGATGCTGATGCTGATGATTATGATGCTGATGATGCTGATGCTGGTTATGATTATGATGATGCCGCTGCCGCTGCTGATGATTATGCTGACGCTGATGCTGATGTTGCTGATGGTGCTGATGCTGATGATGATGATGGTGATGCTCATGCTGATGATGCCGATGCTGATGATGATGCTGATGATGATGCTGCTGATGCTGCTGATGCTGCTGATGATGATGGTGGTGGTGATGATGATGCTGTTGCTGATGATGATGACGATGCTGATGCTGATGCTGATGCTCATGCTGCTGCTCATGCTGATGATGCTGATGCTGATGCTGATGGCGCTGCTGATGCTGATGCTAATGCTGTTGCTGCGGATGATGATGACGATGACGATGACGATGACGATGACGATGATGACGCTGATGATGATGATGCTGATGATGATGATGATGATGATGATGATGATGATGATACTGATGATGATGCTGATGCTGCTGCTGATGATGATGATGATGATGATGATGATGATGATGATGATGATGAGCAGGAGGAGGAGGCGGAGGAGGAGGAGGAGGAGGAGGAGGAGGAAGAGGAGGAGGAGGAGGAAGAGGAGGAGTTCTCCCTCTCCTCCCCGCAGGTGGAAGGAGGAAGACCAGCCCAACGCCGAGAAGAAGCGGCAAGAGGTGTGGGCGGAGGAGGACAGACGGCGGCAGCCGCAGCTGTCGGCGGGCTCCCGCGATATACTCAGTGAGTCGAATGCCATGGCCCGCAGCCAGGCCTTGGGGAGGCACTGTCGCAAAGGACGGACGGCAACACGACTAGGAGGAGGCGGACGGGGAGGACGAACAGGGTTTTGGGCGGGGATGAGAACAAGGAGTAAAGAGGAGGAGGAGGAGAAGGAGGAGGAGGAGGAGGAGGAGGAGGAGGAAGAGGATCAGTAGGAGGGGAGGAGGAGGAATATGAGGAGGAGGAAAGGAGGAAGGGGAGGAGGAGGAGGAGGAGAGGAGGAGAGGAGGAGGAGGAGGAGGAGGAGGAGGAGGAGGGAGGAGGAGGAGAAGAGGAGGAGGAGGAGGAGGAAGAAGAGGAAAGAGGAGGAGGAGGAGGAGGGAGGAGGAGGAGGAGAGGAGGAGGAGGAGGGAGGAGGAGGAGGAGGAGGAGGAGCTAAATTGGCTAAATGCAAAGCGCCAGGGGAGTCGCGCGGAAGGGGTGGTGGGGGGGCCAGCACGGCCTGCGCGCAGGAGGAACGCTCGCCTCCGCGTAGCCATGCGCGCTCAGACGCCGCGGGCGAGCACTCCGACGGGGGCTGCGGTCCTCCACCGCTAGAGGAAGGGCGGCGACACGCCGAAGCCGCCCAGGCAAGGGGAATTGCGGGCCGCCACCGCCTGAGCCAGCCGAGTACAGAACCCCGAGCTGGCACACCACGAAGGCCTGCGCAAGTCTTCGGACGAGGCCCCGAGGAGCAGGGCCTGGACACAAGCCTCCTCGTGGGTCTGCGCCGCCTCCTTGAGCTGGGCCTGGAGATCGAGTGCTCTGGCCGCCGCCGCCGCCATCGTCGCGATGGCTTTCTGCTGGCAGCCTGGCTCCATGGACTGCTGGAAGTGCGCATGCAGGCCGTCGCCCTCCCGCATCGTCTCGACCTCAATGGTCTGCTTGACGGACTCTGCCTGCGGCCCCTGCACGCCGCCGACATCCTGGGTGGCAGCCTTCAGCGCGTCCACCGTCCCTTCCAGCTCCTGCAAGCCCTTGTCCGCAGCTTCGCCAGGACCCTCATCAGCAGGATCCTCGACATCGTCGTTGCCCACCTCGGCGCGTGCCATCGGCGTTTGCGAGACTTTCGTGCCCGCGAACTCCTCGGCGGCCACATCGACGCACGCCCCGCTCTGCACCGCGACGGAGACGTCCGACACATCACCCTCGGCCGATTCCACACGTTGTGCTCCAGGGTAGCCGCACGCCACAGCCGCGCCAGCACTCCGCAACGGCTCAGGATGAGCCATGCGCCGCCGAACCACCTCCAAGTCCAGGTCCAGTCCTACGCGACGAACCGCAGTATCCCGAGGAACAGCATCGCCTTGATCTTCAGCAGCAGCACCACCACATCTCCGACTTCCTCACGAGAAACAGCATCATGCCGAGGAGCTGCATGAGTGGCGAGACCTCCAGGCGGGTCCCCACTCGCACACCTCGTGTCCTGGGTCGTCACTTCCACGACGGCGCCAACCACTGGCGCCTCCACGAGCTCGAACTCCTGCTGCTCGCTCTCTTCGTCCATGATGGTCGCCTCGACCTGCTCGTCCACGGGTGACGGCACCTCGCCAGCCCCGCGGGGCAGGAAGCCAGGAGCCACAGCCCGCAGCGGGGTGCTCCCGCCCTACAGCTGTGCCTTCAAGCGGCGCGGCAAGCGGCCGCGTCAGGCTGGCAGCGAGCGGCGGCGCGTGGCGTGACCAATTGCCGGACTCCATGGCCTCCACGCAGTGCTGCAGCTGCATTGGTGGCCAGGCCAGTCTAGCAATCGGGCTGCTGCCACCGCCTCCCCCATCGCCGGGAAATGGCAGCCGATGCGATCCTCCGTGGCCCAGTGCTCAGCCAGCGCCATGCGCAGACACTAGCTCCCTTGAGCCAAAATGGTTACGGAGAGGAGGAGGAGGAGGAGGAGGAGGAGGAGGAGGAGGAGGAGGAGAAGGAGGAGGAGGAGGAGGAGGAGCAAGAGGAGGAGGAGGAGGAGGGAGGAGGAGGAGGAGAAGGAGGAGGAGAAGGAGGAGGAGATAATGCGATGGAGCATGGTGTTGATGATGATGACGATGATGATGCTGATGCTGATGGTGATGGTGATGGTGATGCTGATGACGATTCTGATGATGGTGATGATGGTGATGATGAGGATGGGATGATGATGATGCTGATGATGCTGATGATGATGATGATGATGCTAATGCTGATGCTGATGATGAACTTGATACTGATGCGGATTGTAATGGTGATGATTATGCTGCTCATGATGATGATCATGATGCTGTTGCTGATGCTGATGATGAATTTGATGTGATGGTGATGCTGATGCTGCTGCTTCTAATGACGATGATTATGCTGCTGCTGATGATGATGTTGATGATGACGATGAACATGATGAACATGATGATGCTGCTGACGACGACGATTCTGATTATGATGATGATGCTGATGATGATGATGATGCTGATGCTGATGCTGATGCTGATGATGATGCTGGTGATGATGATGAGGAGGAGGTACATGAGGATTCAGGGGAGGAGGAGGAGAAGGTGGAGGAGGAGGAGGAGGAGGAGAATGACCAGCGTAAACCAGGGACTCATCAACGATATTGCAATAACCCTTCCCTCCAAGTTTCCTCTTCATAAACCCCTACACGTGTTCATCTTCACTGAAGGAAGTGCACCGTTTGACAGCAACAGTTTGAAAATCTGGAACGGTGCCAGAACACCATTCCTGGGACTTCAACTCCGCGAACCGCCGCTAGTGTTGCGTCTTGGCGATCCCGAGTCCTGCCAGAACACCATTCCTGGGACTTCAACACCGCGACTCAACGTAGCTGTTGCGTCCTGGCAGTCCGACATCGTGCCAAAACATGATTTTTTTGACGGTAGCCATGGGAACCCTTAAACCGGTTGCGAGCGCGGCGCTGAGGCGAGAGCCGCATTTTGAAACGGAGCCGCCCTCCATCCGTGAAGCCGTTGCAAATTTTGAGCTTCAGGGTCGTACATGGTGAGGAAGTCTCAGGCGAAACGGCGGGCCCGCCCTTTCGACTGGCCTCGGGGCGAGACAGGGAGGAGTGTATTGCAAGGAAGAGAAGAGGAGGAGTTGAGGAGGAGGAGGAGGAGGAGGAGGAGGAGGAGGAGGAGGGAGGAGGAGGAGGAGGAGGAGGAGGAGGAAGACGAGGATAATTGTCTAGTGGCCTGCGGTCCATCCCGCCGCCGTGCTTGAATCGTGGACAAATTGTGGCTTAGTGGCGTCTTGGGGTCAGTTGGGAATCCTCTTGGAAGTCTTCTCGGGAGTCTTTTATGCAATGATGATGATGGTGATGATGCTGCTTGATGATGTTGTTGTTGCTGCTGCTGTTGCTGTTGCTGTTGTTGTTGGTGTTGTTGTTGTTGTTGTTTTTGTTGTTGTTGTTGTTGTGTTTGTTGTTTTTGTGTTTGTTGTTGTTGAACATTATTAATTCTAAAGAATAATTATTGTTGGGGCCCCTGGTGCACGGCCCCCCTGCGCCGCCTAGGCCGCAGCTACATTTTCATCATTTTCGTGAGGAAGCCTCAGGTAATTCGATGTGATCAAGATCCGGTTGTTTTGTTCCCCCCGCTTTCCCTTGCAAAAAACACTATAAAATGACATTTCTTGTTCTAATATAATCAAATTTCAAGAATCCCTTGCAAAAAATAAGGTAAAGTGGACATTCGCGCGCGCAAGACGAAATCCTTCCAAAAGCTTAGTGTTCGGAGCGATTTTAACATAAAAACATCAAAAAACCAATGGTTTTTCAACAAAAAAATGTCAAAATCTCATCCCGCGCGCTCTTGCGGATTCGTAGGAAACCCAACACTTTTTAAACATTTCTGTCAAACGGGCTTTTGCGAGCAACTTTTTCGAACTTCTGCGACAACGGTTGCGCACCTGCCAGGGCCATCATCCCTGTCAAATAATACCATGCGGGACAGATTCGTTTTTTCTTCGCGCGCGCACGCCGAAATCTCCAAAAACCATTGGGTTCTTAAGAATTTTACCACCGCGCATCATAAAATCACACGAATCGCACCGTAGGTCCTCGAAAAACAGCTGCACGACTTTTCAAAATTTCCACCCGCGCGCGCTGTGTACGTATCATCTCATGTGTGTCGTGCACACTATCAAATGTAACAGAGTTGTGTATTCCCATCATCCCAGGAACTTGACCCAAAAATGTGACCAACTCCGCTCTCTCTGTCTCTCTCTCTGTCTGCTCTCTGTCTCTCTCTCTGTCTCTCTGTATTATGTATTGTATGGCACAATTGCACCATGCTGGGCACATGCGCGCCCCGAATAAGTGACCAAGTTCTGTGGGTGTGTACCCCACGCCAGTGTAGTAGCCACGGTCGTCCGCACGCCACGAAGTGAAGTGTCCCAACGTCATAGGGCGGGAAGCTGGGTTTGGGTGGTCGCGAAGAGTCGTTTGGATATTTGGTAGAGCTTGTAATGCCCCCCCACGAAGTGGGGGTATTGTCTGGTGTCGTATGAAAACCCTGGCACTGGGGAGAACACCACGCGTTCGGGTAAAATGATTGTTGTTGTTGTTGTTGTTGTTGTTGTGCACATCGTTGTTGTTGCTGCTGCTGTTGACTTTTCACTTCTAAACACTACGGTAACATTTGTTGTTAGTTAAAGTGCTTCTCCCAGGGCTCGCACCCTGTTTTTAACAAGGGAAGGCGAGGTGCCACCAAACCGGGTTGTTCGGCCCCGAACCAGAACAACAAGTGCTTCGGCCTGATACTTCCCCATAATTTATTGCCAAATCGCGCTCTCGCGCAGAATTTCCTCACAATTTATGCAGGAATCGTGCTCTCGCGTGGGACATCCTCGCGATCTATTCAGACGCCGCGCCCTCGACACGCCGGAATCACGCCCTCGCTGTCGATATCCTCACGTTTTATTTAGGAATCGCGCTATCGCTAGAGACTTCCTCGCGACTCATGCAGGACGCACGCTTCAGCGACCCGCCTGCTCGACCTGGCCGCCTGGGCCCGCCTTCCCGACCCGCCCGTTAGGG